CGAACCGAGACAGATCCTGCCTACAATGCCGAAGTAGAGCTTCTTTATCTTGCTTTGATTTGTAGCACGGTCCAATGATCTGTGCTTAACCCCCTTGTTTTCTACTTTGCAGACTTAGGTTACCCAGGCACTCCTGCGTGCCCTCAACCGAGCTACCGAGAGCATTTTTGCGACCGAACTAAGTTATTTTTTATTTATACCATAAATGGGTAAGCATAGGTATTTGGTAGAGACCCCTGGCGGCATGGCCGAATTCCGAAGGGATTATGGCATACCTGACGATGTCCACTTGTCTTTGGCCGAAAAAGACATCACGCCCTGGGATAACGAAGGCTTCGTCCCCTTCACCCTTTTATCTATTATAGAAATCGGACTACGGTTTCCAGTCCAACCATTGATCTGTGAATTTCTTAGGCAGACTAGAATATGCCCTACCCAACTGTCCACCAATTCGTACCGCATCATAATGGGAGTAGCCGAACTGAATCGTCGAGCCGGACTAAACCTTGGCCTTGCCGAAATCTTTCACCAATATTCCATTGGTTCAAAGGCGGATGGGTGGGTCTATTACCTTAGGATACGCCGCCGCCGAGAGAAGATAATTAAACACACACCGGACGAAGATGTAAATGATGACGACTTTTTCTGGGTCTCTGGGAACTTTTAGGATTTTCAAGCCCAAATTCCTGGCCGACCTATAAATTGGAAAAAAGGGGAGCCCGGTAATTTAACTTCGGTCTTATTCCTTGCGATTTTTATTTCGGTTTTGCTAGTCCATCAACCGAACTAACAGTTGTCTTTATTTTCGCAGATTCTGCTCACCTTCATTCCTTGTATAGTTATCCAAATCTTGCTGTGTTGCGAGCCGCACTACGGTATCCTGAACGTAGTTGGGCCAAGTTACTGCAAGTCGAGCCGACCTACCGATATACCGACCGCCGAAAAGCCCGAGTGACCGATTTCCTCCTTGAAGACGCACCTGAACCGGACCCAACCCTGCCCGAAATACGACTTGTTCCATTAACCGCAGAAGAAGAGATGGCAAAGAAAAGCAGAGTTAGGGCCCTTCTGACCGAAACAACTAGGCCCGAAGAAGTGCCACCCAGCCAACCGCAGCCTGCTGTTGTGGCCCTCCCTTCTCACCAACCGTCCTCCTTCCGCCGGTCGAAACGTGCCCGGACTGCCGAAGCCGAGCAAATTCTGGTTGATGAAGAAGAACCTGCTCTTCCACCGAACTTGCCACCGAATTCCCAACCGGAGCCCTCCGTCCGAACTATCGATAGCTGGGCCCCAAAACTCACTTTCAACGACCGAGATATCCGAGATACGGACTCGGTTGTTGCTGAGAAAGACCACCTGTTGGCCATCAATTTGGCCAAGAGTGTGTGTCTGCCCAAAGACATGGAGCACCACCAAAAACAACTGAATACCGAACTAAAGGCTATCCGGTCAACGACAAAGTCCATGATTCTGGTAAGCAACTTCGGTCATTTTTCTGTCTACTATCTTTTTTTCAACTTCAACTTCGGTTTAAAGGGAAATCTTTTCTTTGCCAGGCCCTTCAGAAAAACCAAATCACCCACAGGAAAGTACTAGAGCTCAGAAAAGTTACTAGGCAGGCGGCGGCAGAGGCTGAGGCAAAAGCGGCCGAGCTGGAGGAGGCCAGGAAGGAAATGGCCGAACTTCGGGGTGAGGTCGGCCGATTGACCGGAATGGTTAGTTCGGCTGAAGCTGAAAAAAAGAAGGCAGTCATTGCTCTGAAAGACAAGTACCTGCGTGAGCTGGTAAAACTTGAAAGGAAGAAAGACGCCGAAATAAAGGAGAGCACGAAGGAAGCCAGCAAACAAGGCTTCAAGAAGGCAGAAGATGCTTATTCCAAGCAATGCAATGCTGCCAAGGAGCTGTTCTTCAAGTGCGGTTGGAGGGCGGCAATTGAGAAGCTCGGTCATGATCAACAGACCGAGGTCTTTAACCCACCCGTCCATTTCATACCGAACTCCCTGAAGGAATACGCCAATGCCATGCAACAGCAGCTTCTTGAGGGCTCAACTTCTGATGAAGACTCTGATGAAGACTTTGCCCCTGAGGATACTCCAGTTGCGAATGTTGATCAGGTGGTTCGGTCGGAGCCCGTGGTGGAAGATCTAACTATTGATCGACCAGGTGAAGCCGTGGTTTCGACCGAAACCACCCTCGTCACTGACACCGAGCTCCCCCCTGAAACCGGTCTTCCAGTTGTTGCTGATGCGGCTTTTGACGCCGAAATCGAAGATCTCTTTTCTTGATTTTGTACTTTATCCTTTTTCTGTTGTTTTTTGTCTTTGTAACCGAACTATGCCCCTTTGTAATGAATTTTTAATGAATGAAAATTTTGCTCAACTCTTACTCCGGTTTTGATGTGTATGCTTGTACTTTGGAATGCCTTCTATTACTCCAACTTCTATTTCGGTTTTAGGTGGTTAAACTATGCTTACCAGCCAACCACTCCTTAGCCGATATAATTACTTCGGCTGAGGAGTACACAGAGTTGGTTTATTCCATCCAACCATTTCTTCAGCCAACCACTCTTCAGCCACACACTTACTTCGGCTGAAGAGTAACAAGTGTTGGTTTATTCCAGCCAACCACTCTTCAGCCATACACTTACTTCGGCTGAAGAGTAACAAGAGTTGGTTTATCCCAGCCAACCACTCCTT